GACTGTTTGTGGTGTCAAGAGTTACTGACTTGTTTGTGTTGTGGGATGGCTGACTTGGTTGTTTGTATTGTGGAATGACTAATTTGACTGTTTGTGGTGCAAGAGTACTGACTTGTTTGTGTTGTGGGATGGCTGACTTGGTTGTTTGTATTGTGGAATGACTAATTTGACTGTTTGTGGTGCAAGAGTACTGACTTGTTTGTGTTGTGGGATGGTTGACTTGGTTGTTTGTATTGTGGAATGACTAATTTGACTGTTTGTGGTGCAAGAGTACTGACTTGTTTGTGTTGTGGGATGGGTGTCTTTGCTGTTTGTAATGCATGACGACCGACTTTGCTGTTTCTGTTGTGGGACAACTGACATGTTTATTTGTGTTGTGAGAGGACTAACTTGTCTCTATCTTGGGGGACAACTGATTTTTAGAGTTGAATAGTTGGGTAATGTTTTGGAAGTTACAACTTCTGTTTACAGAGGTGTACGAGTTTGATAAATAAACATTTTAGTTTCACTCTGTTTTGTATGTTCTGAATTTTGTATCATCAGTTTCTCCATTCTGTGTGCATTTCTTGTCAGAGTAATTAACCCCTTAGTTACCTCTCATTTAAGCTGCATATCACTTAGATAACATTTAACAAATTCCATGTCTGTGAGTCGTGTAAAATGTTTTCGGATTATGTAGACGTAAGATATGCCACATGTATGTTCCTAGTAATGATGTAAATTTCTGTTCATTAAAGCACAACTGATGTGTAAAAAGTCCACAAGAATTATTGAGATGTTTTTAGTGTAATTCTTATGAGGAACTGCAGTTTTCCATATAATAAGAAATATATTTAGGTTGGAGGTGTTTTAAACTTTAATAGAGTACTTCAGTAGTTAGTAGTCTTGATCTAAATAACCAATATCATTACATATGCCAGTCCAGGAATAAATATGGGGATGGATTAAATATCAACTAGCTAATTTAATAGAACCCTCCCACATTTGTTGTGAGCCACTTTAATAGAACCCTCCCACATTGGTTGTGAGCAACTTTAATAGAACCCTCCCACATTGGTTGTGAGCCAGTTTAATAGAACCCTCCCACATTCGTTGTGAGCCACTTTAATAGAACCCTCCCACATTGGTTGTAAGCCACTTTAATAGGACCCTCCCACATTCGTTGTGAGCCACTTTAATAGAACCCTCCCACATTCGTTGTGAGCCACTTTAATAGGACCCCACCCACATTCATTATGATGCCCTATATATTTGTATATTAAAAATAAACCCATTGTGTGTGTCAGATGATTATTAACCTCTATAAAGATTGAGTCTATGAAACAGTGGGTAATACCAAGGATTTTTGTGACTTTCAAAGGTGCAAGATAGCAGGACAGTTTTACCTGACAAAGTTACCAGAAATTAGTTGGCAAAGATAAAAATTATACATACATTTTTTTGTGTTGCTAAAATGGTAAGTGTTTAATATTATTAAGGGATACAAGTTTTTACATCAATAAAACAATTCAATTATGATCTATAACAGCTGTTATAAACTTTGAGTTTGAAGCTAATCTCATGTTTCATGCTAGTTCAGTACTCCTGATTTAAGTATTTTGTTACAAAATCTAGTGATTTTAAGTTGAGTAAAACCACATTCGGTATCTGGCTTTGACTGCTCGACATGTATAATAAGAGACTACATATACTGGTGTTAAAACCACACTCAGTATCTGACATTGAGTGCTCGACATGTGTAATAAGAGACTACATATACTGGTGTTAAAACCACACTCAGTATCTGACATTTACTGCTCGACATGTATAATAAGAGACTACATATATTGGTGTGAAAACCACATTCAGTATCTGACATTGAGTGCTCGACATGTATAATAAGAGACTACATATACTGGTGTGAAAACCACACTCAGTATTTGACATTTACTGCTTGACATGTATAATAAGAGACTACATATACTCGTGTTAAAACCACACTCAGTATCTGACATTGACTGCTCGACTTATGTTATAAGAAACAACACACCTTTTTCAAGCTGGCAAAGGGTGTAACACTACTGTATTTGTTGTGTCCCAGCTGGCATGGTTAGCTCTAGATTGATTGAAATGTATCATCAGAAATGGATATGGTGAACATAGAGTTGCTGGAATACTTTTATTATACTCTCTATTAATTTTTAAAATCTCTAAGGAACAAGATAACGAATGTATAGTAGTGTTAAAAAATATAATGGGCCTACTACTAATGTCTCATGACAAGTATAACTAACTATGTGTACTGTTTTTATTAGCTGTGAACAATAGCATAAACTTTGATGACTAAGTCTGATACATAATGTCAAAAAAAGAAAGAAGATAAACCGAAGCTTTTTATGGTCCTTAATTGAAATAAATGAGCTAACCAGTGTTACTGCTTCTGTATACTCTCTGTGTTTTACAAAAATATTACTGAGCACTTACTTTACACAAAGGAGTTATATTTCTTCATTTTACTGACTTAAATGAAAAGAAACCATTTGTGAATCATATCTTTTCATATTGTATGAAGAACACTGTTATTCATGCCCTCAACATGATATTTAATCTGTTAATATATTTTCCCATTGTATGAAGAACACTGTTATTCATGCCCTCAACATGATATCTAATCTGTTAATATCTTTTCATATTGTATGAAGAACACTGTTATTCATGCTCTCAACATGATATCTAATCTGTTAATATATTTTCCCATTTTACAATGACTTCTGTTATGGATCTGATCCACTACCACTTACTACTTCTGTGACTTTGGGCTCCACACTTTCTGCTGAGGAGGTTTCAGCCATTGTGTGTTGCAAGTTTAAAACTATCTTGTGGCCTGCTACATCTATGGAACATTGGCTGGATTTCCCATTTATGTGGGAATCTGGTCCTGATGATGATTTGGACATCCTTTTCCCACCACCAGCCTTTACTATGCCATCCTGTGCTACCCCTCCAGATTTCCCTCATCCTTTGTAATTTGTTTTTGACATTTCCAAGGTATGTTACCTATTGTCTCTTAACCTTGTGTCTTATGATTTCTGTCACTTCCTCCTGATATTCATGTACATGCTGAACAGTTTCTTCCCCAATTATGTTTGGGTATCAGCATGCCTTGACCCCCATGTTTGTCAGATTCCTAT